TTCGTTTTTCAGAACATGCAGATCAAGCTGATGCTAAATTGTTTTCATTTGGAGGCAGCTCTGGTTCCAAACCCTCCTCCAATACTTTGGACACGGAGACTGTATACAAGATGGACCAAGGAACGCGGGGAATTGCCATCATCATTAACAACAAGGAGTTCCTGAGGAGTTCAGGAATGGATCGGTATCCTCGCAATGGAACAGACGTCGATCGAGATGGTTTGAGTAAGCTTTTCAGAATGCTTAAGTTTGAAGTGAGGGTTTACAATAATCGTACCAAGGCTGAGATACGTAACACTGCAAAGGAGATGGCGAATTACAACCATTCCAACTACAATGCCTTTATTTTCTCGATCCTTACTCACGGTGAAGAGGGTGTGATTTATGGTACAGACGGGACCCTTACCATCAAGGAAATCACATCAGAGTTCAAATATTCTGCATCTTTGGCCGGGAAGCCTAAACTCTTTTTCTTCCAAGCTTGTCAAGGTGAGATCATTTAAAAATCAAATTTAAATGGTAACGTGCAGTATTTCAACAAAATAACACCCTTGGTTGAGCTGAATGGAAATCAATTGTGGTTGTCTATTTGCAAGGAGAGGAGTGGGTTTGTGATCCATTTTCAAAATTTGATCTCAAAATGTCTCTTTTCACTCAGGGAAACTTAACAAATTGCTGGCGAGTTACTTGCGATCGACTTCTATTCCTTTTAGAAGTTACAGTGTTCTTAATTGCTTCTCGCTTCAGAAACTTAATTGGTTGAGAAAATGGCGCGAGTATTTTTTTGTTCTAATCACACAGCGGAATGAGGCAAAACCCAATCAGTCCCAGACTCTTTCCAATACCCAATTGAAACCTGCCCTAATTCAATGCAATCCCAAATTATGTCCGAATTTCATTTTAAATTTTGTTTTTGAAAATCTTCTTTTTCATTTCCAAATTCCAAGGCCACGAGTACATGGACGGTATGGACGTAACAGACGCCCCGCAAGATAATCGAGTCTCTGTCCCAGCTGAGGCAGACTTCCTTTATGCCTACTCCACTGTGCCCGGTTACTACTCATGGAGGAACTCTGTCAATGGATCGTGGTTCATTCAGTCGCTGACAAAGGTGTTTGAAGATAACGCGGAGCGCATGGATATCCTCCGCATGCTGACCCGTGTCAACGCCATGGTGTCCACCTACAAGTCGCGAACTGGCGACTATTACTCTGACAGCAAGCGCCAGGTTTCTAGTATTGTTTCCATGTTGCGCAAGGAACTGTATTTCTTCCCTGAAAACATCGAGCGCAGTTAAATCAGACCGTGTTGTTACTTAATTTGGATTGTATTAATGTGATTAATTTACTTAGTATTGATGATTTAAGGGAGTCGTGCCTAGACTTGAAGGATGTTTAAAGAACTACGTCAAAATATTTAAAGTCATGTTTTGTCTTGGGAAAAATTGCCTTCCCCTTGAAAGAGATTTAAAAATATAGAAACAAATACAAAAGATGTAATAATAAACGGAGAGGAAATGAGGTCAGCTAAGGATGGAGAAAAATAAAAGGATTTTGAGATGTCAAACCTGAGAAATGTGGTCTAATTTTTTCAAGATCCATAAAGCTGGCCGGCACATTAATAACAACATCTTGAGAAAGTTTGGATTAATTTTATCTTTGCGAAGATGCATTATTAACCAGTAAATGTTTGGTGTTAGCTTATCTTCTTTCGTCTTTATCTCTTCCTCCACATGACTGAAATTATCTTGACGTAGGTCTTCTGACGCAAAGGCTCAGGAGCCCGGCTCTCGAAAGGCTCGGTTACATTATGGTCCCGAAGCCATTCTAACGAATAGCATTGTGGGTCTCAGCTCAAAAACGAGGCCATTCTTTACGTTTCCTGAAATTTCATCGCGCGCCTGAGTCTTAAATGTAAACACGAGAACTAAAAGGCCTTTTACGTGCACGGTGATTATAGGGACTTTCGAGAAACGGGCTCATGGATAGACATATCGAAAGTGTCATGTCGCTTTGGTGTTCTTTGAATTTTGGTGGATTTTTTGGTGTGTTTAGGGCCAAAAGAAGTTTTTTTCATCGGTGATATTAATGTAGTGTTTATAGTAGACTTCAAAAGCTGATTTCCAAGCTCAAAGATACAGATTATTGCCTTTATTCTTGCCTAGTAGGGTTACCTTTCTTTCTAAAGGTTTCCCTTTTATAACGAATATCTAGTATTGTCGCGCTTCCAGCGGAAGTGAGATCAAATTAGTTATTGAGCTTGTTTGTATTACCTATTCGAAACTAGCATTTGTAGGTTTGGTCTCAGATGAAAATTTGATTATTTTAGTGTGGAGTAGATTTCTCATGAAACCTATGTTATGCCTAAAATTGGTTACTACTGCTGTAGTGATTTTCGGTCTTCCTTTCACAACAGAAATGTACTGTTTTGTTTCTTATGTATATCAAAATTAAAGAAATAGCGATGTCATTTTCCTCGGTTTCTATCATTTTTCGTACCATTTAGCTAGTATTTGTCATTTAATGTGTTGTTCTTCTCCCTTGTAGTGTTTAATGTTATATCTTCCATCAGACAAGTTAATTTAAATTTGGAAAAGAACTCACATTGAAAAGAAGTCGGATTGTTCAAAATACGATTTCTATGGGTCATGTTTAGAGTAACGTTTATTTAGTTATGTATTTTGTAGTGTATGAAAATAGAGGAAAGTTCGGCACTCGGACCGAATGCGCTGATGACGGGAAAATGTCAAAGCAGTGTCAAAAGAAACTTGTTTGGCATGTTTTCATCGTGAAATAGATCAAGGAAAAATTAGGAAAGTTGTCTAAGGTATGTCGTATGTAAGGGGCGAATAAATGGGTGTTTTTATAAGAGTTTCAAAACATTGCTGTTTTCTTTGTTTTGTAATCACCTGTACAATCATCAGGTTTTGCTTCAGGAAAAGAGACAAGTGGACTTCTCTGGACTCTAAACCAATCGCTTCTGAAGTTGCCGTTCCTTTTTTATTTTCTCTAAGCCCAGTTCTCTTAAAGTATATGAAACTGCTGCACCCATGCATGCTCAAAGTCCATCTTTACTAACTAACTGGCTTGCAATCGATTCACCTCGCGCGGGAACCTGAAAACAGCGTAAAAGCTGCGAAAAAGGCCGTCACTTATCCCTTTTTCTTTCACTTCCAAACTTCCAGGAGCACTGGAAGGTGCACTGGAAAAAATCTTAGTATTTTCTTCTGGTTTATAAATTACATTTTCGATTAGTTACGATGAGTCGTAAGTTCTCGTACATAAAGTGAATTTTTGTTCTTTTCTTCTTCCATTGGCGTAGCGAACCGTGTGCTCTACTTTGAGCACGCGCAGAACAGTGTAGACATCCGCAATTGAAACCGGAACCTCACGATTTCTGTGATAAAAATTCGATTATCCTAGAGGGTATTATTTGCCTAGGTACGTCATGTATGGGGAATTATAATATGCTGGGTACATAATATGCATTGGGGATAATAATTCCTCATACATGACCTACTTACCAAATGATTTAGGGAATATACCGCTGACAAGAAGCCAAAATGACCCTGGGCTTGAGATTGAGCCCAGCCCTTTCAACACGAAACGCCATTGCGCATATGCGCATGTATAAAACCGCATGTAAACTATGACATTTATCGTGCTTGATACGTTCTCTAAACCTAAATGATGCTAAAAAGTGCTCGGAAATGCAAAAAGTGCACGATGTTGCTGGAATCGCAAAAAGTTGCTCCAAACGCCAAAGGTTGCTCCAAAGTTGCCGAGCACAATCGGAGTAGGCCTACCCGTTGCCCGGGGGATAATAAAGCTTCAAATCGACCGACGCACAAGTAGGTCATCCGGCCGTTTTCTGTTGCTAAAAGCAATAAGGTGTATTATTAAGTAAGATCACCAAGCTTCAGAAGGTTGTGGACGTTTTTACAGTTAGTTCTTTAGAAGCCTGGGCGTATTTTGCATTTTCAGCGGTGACTCCTTAACTCGGAAATCCCGTGATGCACAGTTGTACTCACTCATACCACGTGGTTTTGTGACGGTCGTTTGGACGCCATTTGTTGGAAGAACCTTTCATTGCATTACTTTGACAGATATCCAACATTTATAATGACAAGCCTTGACTCCCAAACCTCCGAGGTAGGTCTAGACATTAATTGTTTCTTTTGCTGTTGGCTGAAGGCGTTGTCGAGAGCAGTGACATAGAGATAAAGTCGGTTTCATCTGCGTAGCGAGCGAGGAACTTGGGTTGCTTGAACGCGGGATTTTTGTTTTGCAGGAGAAGTTATGTTCGAGGTATCAATCCAATAACACACGCTTCGAATTTTAATTTCTTTAGCTAGACAGATCATTTCATAGATCTTGCATTATGAAATCAATAAATTCATGGATGGTAGTTGAAGGCTTCAAGTAAGCAAAAACTTTGCTTAGACAGTTGACAACTGGGCCTACATGATCGAGATGATATCAGACCTCTTGGCCCAAATTTGATGTGATTTGTATTGGTTTCTTATTGTGAAATTCGTCAACGTTTGAATTTTAGGAACTCGTCGAGTGTTTGTCTAGAGATACGCTTTTTGACCGTTTATTTTCTCGTAGACAGAACAAGGTATTCAAATTAACAAGCGAGTTTCCTTGGTGGATCTGTTTGGACTAAAGAATAACCGTTTCCTAATATTTAGACTCTTGCAAATTATATCCATTTAGGATGTGTTAAATTTATTTTTCCGTATATTTCTCAAGTTTATTTGATTTTACATACTTACTAAACCGATATGTTGTCAAATATCTCTTGGTCAGGGAAGTTTGATTTCCATGGATCTTTAAGGGGAGAATTGGTTGAAGTTGTTTTATTAAAGGTAGTAATTGAAGCGAAATTGATTGATTGGTTTTCACCTGCAATTTGGGAAGAACTCTACAGTACCACTACAACTCTGACAGGATTAATCAAGGAACTGAGAGCTTAAACCTTAACTCCCAGGATATGATTATTAATTCTCCCCTCTAGCTGCTACACATTTCCTTGTAAATTAGTTGCAAGAATTTGATGTTAAATCAAGATAACTTACACCTGATGCATTTAAGAACTCTCATTACCTGTTTGCTGAATAGTGGGATTAAGGAGGGTCATCATTGAACACTACATTGATTGGTTTGAACTGTGGATCTTAAAAGGAACACATATGTTTACATTATACAAATGTGTCAAATGTCCAAGCCTTCGCAGAGGTTGTCAATTATTTTTTGAAATGATGAGAAACAGTTCATTCCATATAAAAAAATTACATTCATAAATGAAATGGATTGCCAAATTGAAACAGTGTTATTGGAAGTTTAATAATTGCAGGTAATATCTTGTAGAGAAGTATATACTAGTAATATTTGATAGGAGCAAAATTACATAAATGCTAGAACAAGAAAGAAGAGTATTCTTTTTATGTTTCATCAAATCATGTGTCATGATACACAGGGAGATTCAGATAACATGAACCCTGAACCAAGAGAACAATTTATTGTCCGTGCCCGTGGGTTGCCTTGGTCAGCAACTGCAGATGATGTTGCAACCTTTTTTTCAGGTGAGAATTTATTAGGATTCAGTGTTTTGCTTGTAAATTGGTAGGAAAGCTGTTGTGCAAAGGCAACTGTTTTTACAAGAAGTCAAGAATTTAATCAAATTTGTAAAATTGGATTAGTTTTCCTTCATGCTGATGGCGTAGAACTAAGCCAATATATTTTTTGTAGGGTGTAACATTAGAGATGGCCCAAAGAATGGCATTCACTTCACTTACAGTTCTGATGGACGTCCAAGTGGTGAATGTTTTGTAGAGCTTGTATCTCTTGAAGATATGGAAAAGTAAGTGTGGGAAAAAAAATAGAAAGAATAGTGTAAGCTGTACTTTTTGAATTGGGTTTATCTGATGGGATTCTATTCTAACAATAGTTGGCAAAAAGAAAATCCATGGAATGGTCAATTTGTTTTGAAATGCTGCATCAAGTCCTCGCTTTTATTCCCCCAAAAATGAAAGTCATAGGTTAATTATGGATGCAATTTCTGAAAACTCATTTATAATGAGATTTGAAAAAAAGAGAGCTCAGTATGGCACCAATAACTATGAGACCCACGATCTGTTCAGTGTAATTGGCCTTGGCCAAATTGATCTTTTCCTGGCAAAGTTTGGATGCTAAGGAACAGGAAAGTTATAAGTGTGAAATACTTGTAGTGCTAGATGTGTTTGAAATGCAGAGTTGTCACAGGTAATTGCTAAATTTGATCTGATTGAAACTTTTTTCCCTCCTTCCACAGAGCTTTGAGCAAGCGTAACAACTTTATCGGCAAGAGGTATGTTGAAGTGTTTGAGTGTAAGAATGGTGAAATGGAGTTCACCTGCAAGAGAATGGGACAACCACCTGATCAAGGACATGAAACTGTTTTGCGACTTAGAGGACTGCCATATAACTGTTCTAAAGAGGAGATTGCCCACTTCTTTTCAGGTATAAATACTTTTCTTCTTCAGTTATTAATATTCCTTATGATGTTTTGTTCATTCTTGTGGTCACATTGGGTTGTACCTAAATGTTACCACACCGGCTAGTCCTGTTTCTGAGGGTCTGCCAGAGTGACTGGAAATTCAAATTAATTAAATATTTTGATTGTCTATAGAATGCATCCTGGAGGGAAACATTTTTTATGGTTTTACAATGTCATTCACCAGGAAAAGCATTATATGAAGGGCTTTTAAGGTTAAGGAATACAATTTCATGTGATTTTAGGTTTTCTTGTGATGCTGTTGAAGAGCTTGAGAACTTAAAATGTTTCAAATTGGTTTTCTATCATTATTTTAGGTTGATGCAATGAACCCCAACCCTAACCTTAAGCAATTGTAAATTTTTTTCTCTTCATACATCATTAATGAATTTTTAACAATGATTTTAAGCAGTGTGTTTCAGAACTGTTTGGGTCCACAAATTATATGTTCAACCATTAACTATTCAAGGACCTGATATGGCCAAACATTTTCTGAAAACAATTCCCTTCATGTACATGCTGAATCATTTTTAATCAGTTGTTGAACTGAATTTGACACCCAATGTGACCACTGTGTCAAAGCAGTATTTTTAGTTCGTATTTCAAGCAAGGTGTAGTATATATATTTGAACGCTCTGCTCTAAAGTTTGTAATAATTTTTTAGTAGACTGTGGTGGGATTGTATGATTAAATTTTGTTGTTTTCTAAAAAAAAAATGCAAGTTGTTGTCATCATAATCATGCTACAGAACCAGAAAAGTAACCAGCCAGTGAATATTATATATATATATAACTTTATGAATGCAGGGAAGAATAATTCAGAAAAACTAATGTGCATGTTGAAATTAAGGTCCAGTTAGCTTGCTTTTTACATCCCTTTTTTTTATCATGCCTTTCAATTTGAAAATATAGTGGTGGAAGCAGACATTTTTTGTAATCTGTCTCAGTGCTTTTGGGAAGGGGGATTAATATAAGATTAAATATTCACATATATGAATTGCTCAAGTTTGTTTGAGTATCCTTGTATCAGAATTGCTTGACAAAATTTTGTATTTTACCATCCTTTGAATAAAACAAAGCTTGCCATCGTCTGCTTTCATCAAAAATCATTCCCCAGTTGCCTGTAGTAACCCTTGCACTAACAAGTGGGTGTATGTAATAGTTGTTGGTTTACATGCTTTGCTCTCTACTGGAATTCAAAGGGCTGGAGATAGTTCCCAATGGGATAACAATCACTCTTGACGAGGACGGGAAGACCACGGGGGATGCTTTTGTGGAATTTGCTTCTCCTGATATAGCTCAGCAGGCTCTGAAAAAAAACAAAGAAACAATAGGGCACAGGTGGGGATAGTTATGGTGCGGTGGGTCTGAATGTGACCATGGGCACAACTCTATATTTACTGTTATTCTGGTTGGTTGGTTGGTTTTGTACAGTACTTATATGTTACATGTATGTGTTTCACAGTGCAAATTTATTTCTTTGATTTATATAAAGTCGATTTGTTGCACCCAAGAGTCATTAATGTGATATAGTGCTGTACAGCATTCTCTGACAGTAGACCATTTGGCTGTCTCTAACAAATATATCTGTCCAAATTGCACTGTGAAACATAGTTAGGTAGGTATTCTGATCTGTATTCTGTGTGTGTTGTTTAGGAATTTCACAAATCAAGACTGATAACTATGCTTATAGCATGTTGCTTTTGTTGTTCTTTTTTGTTGTTGTTGTTTTTTTTTGTTTGTCTTTTTTTTTTTACCTTAGCCTATGTGTGTAACTTGAATCATGCTATTGCTATGAAATTAAATTTTGGGTACTCAAGATTTAAACATTAGGTAATGTTAATGCTTTAAGTTGAAGACCACAGACACTTTATTGAGGACCAAAAGACTTTTTCAAGTCCCATATTTTGTGTATGTTTAATCAGTCAGCTTTTTGTTGAGGGTTATCAGGATAAATCCATAATTATCTGCTTTTGCTCTCTGGATAATTTTAAGTGTGATTCAAAATTTTTGTTCTTTTAAAGTGTTTCTAAATTGTAGCTTGAATTCAGCAAGTTTATGGTTATTTTTCTTTTTGTAATGAATGTTACAAACATGTATGTGTGGTGCAGACTTAAGGGTATCCAATTGTGATGCACACATTTTCAAACTCCCTCAGTCTAATTTCTGTATGTTACTACTTTCAGAATTTACTGACTTGTAGCATAATCACCATGTACATTTGTGTAACACTAGGCCATTTCAGCAAAATTTCCCAACTACCCTCAAAATGCTATTTAACTATTGCATATCAACAGAATAACACATTTTAAAATCATGTTCATATCTATTTCCATTTTTATTTCTGTTTTTCATTGTACTTTGTTCTCGCTTGAGAGGCCACGAAGCGTGTTTTCAATTTGTTGTTGAGAAATCAAATGTAACGCAATGAGACATCATCGTACTTTGGACCTTGTGGTTTCCTCATTAAAACCCCTGAAAATTCATGGAAACACCCTGCAAACAACCAGGGGAGGTTACAAAGTCTTCCAGTACGGTTTTGAACAGGAAACCAAAGCAAGATTGCTCAAAATATGGCCTGACTGGTTCACGTTTGATTCCTTTTGCGCATATAATTCAATTGCTGTGCTTTGAATTACACAAGGCAAGACAACAAGAATGTTTTCGAAACGAGTTATACTCATTTGTGCAACGTCTGATACCCAGAACTCAGCAAAATAGTAGCATTGGTGAATGAACTTTTGTGTTACAATGTTTGAGTTGTCAAGATTCGGCAGCATCCAAGATATGAGTTGAAGTGTATGTATGAAACACTGAATTTCAATCCATTGTTTTGCATAATAAATTTGTTTTCGAAATAATAAACTGCCCATTACTCAGCTGCTTTTGAGCTTTAATGGCATATTATTTGACAATTCGGTACTGACGATGATGTACTTTTCTTTGAACTAGCTAATCTCTTAACTAGACTTTCATTTATATTTACAAATTCACTCAGTTTTATTTTGTGGTACTTGAACGGAGGGGTGCATACATAATCCCACAACACAAACCCAGTCATGATATTTTCGCTTTGCTACTTCAAAAATTAACAGTTTAGACTGAAATTTCGGCAAAAACAAGGTAAAACAAATACCTTCAAGCGGGTATGATTTTACTTATTCAATGGAATATTGCGATAAACATATTTTACTTTTTCTATCAATATATGCAAATGAGATGTTATGCATTACATGCATATTTGAGGGAAATTTGCCCAATTTTTCAGGAATACCTCACTTTTAATTTATAGGAATTTTTTTTCAGGTGATATCTAATAATTAAACATCTATTCATCTAACTGCGAAGTTATATTTTAATCCATTCAATATTTTAGCGCAGAGTAGAAATTTTACTTGAGTGACCTCAAATGTACATGGTGATTGTGCTACAGGTCACTATCCATACTTGATGTAGCATTTTATCAGTTTTGTGTGATATTGGGCCTTGTAGTATAGCGCCTTTTATTTCCTGAATATTCTAATGATTTTGGTTGAACTGAGTTGCATGTTCACAAATTTTCAACTGCTTATATCTCCGTCTTTATAATGTAAACAGATTAGTTATTGCTGTGAATCAAAGGCCACTTGACTGTTCAAATAAAATATCATAAAGGGTCAGCGATAAAAATGCATTACACAGCCATTTTTAAATTGTTTGAAAAGAGATGTTGTTAGTTAGCCTAAACTCATTCTATTTTCACTGTGTGACTGGTTAACTAGTTAAATTTTACCTTCAATGATTGGTTAAATTGTAAGGAAAATTCTCTTTCATGTGCTTACATCTGTTGGTGTACATGTAGTTACTATTATTTCTCATGTATTCCTTGCACCCAAATGAACATGCTCTAATTTACATATGCTTAACTCTTTTTTTAGATACATTGAGATATTTAAGAGCAAAAAAACAGATATCAAATACGTTTCTGCCCCAAAACTTAAACCTTTGATGTCAACCAGACCTGGACCCTATGACCGATCCGGAGGTTTTGGTGGAGGAAGAGGACGGTTTGGTGGAGGTGGAAATGAAAGAAGGTAATGCTGATAACCTCAAATGTTGCAGTTTTTATTAATGTACATTGTAAGATAGTCAAAGCTCCATATAATATGATGCCAGTCAAAGTTCTCTTGCACTAAATCAAGAAGTATGGCCTCAGGGATTCCCTGAGGACTCCAGTAATTCTTTCCACTTTTTTGTGTAGTGCAAGCTATTTAATTGGTGTCTCTCTCCACTTATCCTTGTAATATGCCATTTATCTCCTATTCCCCCTCTCCCTCTTTGAGATTACCATTAATAAGTTAGTGGCAGCCACTTGCAGGCTATCTATTAGTTATCTTCTGCAATCAATGGCTGCTTGGAATGATTTTTCAGGAACTTTCTTCTTACTTGTCTTTCGGAGGCAAATGTAATACAGGAAAAGTATTCATTTGCACAAAAAAATTTACCAATTGATGTTTTAGACACATTCAAAGTCACTACTAGCATTACTCATCTCTTATTTCAAAGGAATTGCAGGAGTGACCAAAAAAAAGGAATTTCTCCTTGCAATCTTGATATATTTTCAAGCAGAAAAGTTAAGAGAAGTAAGAAAAATTTGAGTAAGAAAAATTTGGGGATGTCCATTTATTTCAGACCAAATTTGTAGATTTTAAGTTGTAAGAAATGTACAGTAAACAATGAGGACAACTAATGAATAGATATTTGGAGGTAAAAGATGAAATGAAGTTCCTTACCAAACAGATACAGGGGAAGAGGTAACCTTGGAGGTCCAGTCTTTGGTGGCGGCTATGGTGGTGACTTTAATGGATATGGAGGTGGACGTGGGGGAGGTGGTCGAAGTGGCCGTGGTGGCAGAGGATCATCTGGCAGAGGTGGATTTCGTCATGGAAGGGGTGGTGGAGGAGGTGGTAACTTTGGAATGATGTCAAGCACTGGTCACACTGTTCACATGCGAGGACTACCATATGCTGCCAAGGAGAGTGATGTTAAACAATTCTTCATGCCTCTTAACCCTGTCAGTGTATGGATGGAATATGATAATGGTTCTTTCAATGGGCAAGTGGATGTGGACTTTGCAACACATGAGGATGCACAAGCAGCTATGCTAAAAAACAAATCATCAATGGGTAGGAAGGTTCATCTTCTTCTAATAATCGAAGTAATAATCTCTATGAATATGGTTATTGTTGTCTTCTTATTGTTAGTTGAACTGTGTAGTGACAAAATTATGATACTAAGGTTTTAAAGTAACATCATATTTATATTTTTTCACCTTTTGGTGAACATACATGGTCACAAGTGACAGTTTATGGTCACCATTACAATATGGAAATAAGTGCTTACAGACATTCAAGAAAATGGAATAATTTTGATTCTCATAATTCACATTTGTGCCTTGTTTTCAGGTCATCGTTACATAGAACTGTTCTTGCGATCCAATCCTGAGAGTGGAAATAGCCAGGGGTGGGGTGGCTCAGGAGGAGGACACAACTTTAGTGGTGGACATGGTGGTGGAGGTAGTAATTACAGTTATTTGGTTTGCATACATAATTTTACCCTTTTGATATTTACATCAATGGATAGTGTCCTTAGTGTTCTCTATACACCTCTCATTTTATTGACAAGGAGAATATGTGCAATAATCAAAAGCTTCTTTAATTGAAAATAACTTCCTATATTCTCAAAGCCTTTTTTTTATTTGGCAGTGATACTTTAAGGATAAATTAACTTTTAGTCACTCCAGGGGGTTGAAGAGTAAGTGTATGTATGTGCTAGAGTAGCAATAGATATCCCTAGTCATTTTTTGTTGAATACAAGAATAGAATGCTAGACAAAAATCCAGAAATGCATTTCAAACAAGTCTACATTCAGGCAGTGGGAGCAACTAGTCTGAAAGGCAGACATGACCTTTTTAGAGCATCATCCTCTATCATTCTATAACTATAAAGGGTATTATATTTGAGCTATTAAACTGTTTGTTCAAACTAACTCTTCTATCTTGTCAACAGGTGGTAACTTCAGAGGAGATAACTTTGGAGGAGGGAATTTCAGTGGTGGTGGGGGAAACTTCAATGATGGTGGCAACTTTAACAACTTTGGTGGTGGTGGAGGTGGTGGAAATAATTTTAACAACCAAGGTAATATGGGAGGATTTGGTGGCCAAGGAAACCAGAACACTGGCTTCAACAACCAGCAGCAGCAACAGCAAGGTGGCTTTGGTAACCAGATGCAAGGTGGTGGTGGTGGGAATTTTGGAAACCAAGGCAACACCTTCGGTAACACTGCTTCAGCTGGGTTTGGTTCCGCCCCTAGTGGTGGAAACTTCACCTCACAGTCTAACTATGGGCAGAGTACTAACTATGGTGCTTCAGGTTACGGAGGGCAGATGTCATCAGCTATGAACACAGGGATGAACACAGCAATGAACACTGGCATGAACACAGGGATGAATACAGCCATGAACTCAGCAATGAACACGGCCAGTTATGCAACTCAGGCAGCCTTTAGCAATCCTGCTCAACAGAACACTCCTTTTAATCAGCAACAGCAGCAGCAGCAGCAACAGCAACAACAGCAGACAGCATATACAGACAGCTCAGCATATGGGGCATCAGCTGGAGGATCATTCTTTGGTGGCATGCAGACACAAATTAAGCAGGAGCCCCAAGCCACAGCCAACCCAGGCATGGTGTCTTATCCTGGATATCAGTGATCTGTTTTACCTGCTATGACATACAAAGGACAAGTGTTTATGTAACCCTTTTATCATCTGCTCCAGAGGAACAATTTTAAGGAGGCAGCATAGGGCATGTGTTAGATACCTGTGTATTATATAACAAGTAACAAAACAAGATTAAGTTGCTGTTGCTTTTAGTTGTTATTCACTGATTTTCGTATCATGAACATTGTCTGGTTATTTACTTCACTTAATGTTCAGCTCTACAAAGTAGCTGGCAGAATGTTTTGTTTAAGGCACTTTTTGTTTTCCTTTTGATCCAAAATGTGGCTTCTAAAGCACATTTGTTTTATATAAACATGTTTGTACTGATTTTAGTCACTTCATTTAAATCTTTGTTGTGCGTTTAGTTAGCTATCAACTGAAAGCAACGAGAAAAGGGAATGAACTTTGTATAAGTTTATCGACACAATTAAGATATTTAACAGGTTTTCAAGAAAAGTAATGTTAATATGGCGATGTGACCTTTTTTTTTAGCTTTCTGGGACCCATATGGGTTTCGTAATAAATTGATTGGTTTACAGCACTGCTATTTGCGTGACTCTTTTGTTTCTTCTTGTTACCCACTTGTTACCCTTTGAGGTGTTGTTTGGTTCGCCTTTTTGCTGCTTTAGCAGCCAAATCCCGGATCACTGGAATTACCGATTGTGTATTTTAAAAAAGTTTTCACAAGA